CAGCCTCTGGCGCTCAGGAAATGATGAATTTCCCAGGAATCTCCATGTCATAATACACTCACACAGTGTCTAGGACTTGCTGTGTCCATCTCTGAGCTGGTGGCAGACCACTTCCTCTGGGTTTTGTGTTAACTGGGCCTGGGTGACTCTTCAATGAGGAAAAACAGGCCCCACCGTTCCAGAACCCAAAATATGTGAGCAAGGAAAGGAACACTACCACAGCCCCCTGCTGCCTCCTGCTCCCTGCTCCCTAGCAGCACAGTCATTCCCCTGCATACCAGCTGCTCCTTGCCCAGGGCACTCAAGCCACATGCCTCACAGTCATCTTTGAAAGCCTCAGTGTGCTCCTCAGACCAGTCTTGTCTCCATGGCCTGTTGGGAATGGAAAATCTGGGTTCTGTGTCCACCTCCTGAATCTGCCTCTTCCGTCAGTCCTCCATATCCACAGGTTCCACTGTGGAGTCAACCAACCAAGCTAGAAAATAGTTTCAAAAACTTCATCTGTTCTGAGAATGTCAGACATCTTCCTTTTTCTTTGTGTGTATGTGTAGATGTGGGTACATGTGTAAATACTGAGGCACATGTGTGTGAGTGTCCAAGTGGAACCCTGGGGTCCACTTAAGGGAGTATTTCTATTGTGCTATCTACCTGCCTGCCTTTCATTCATTTTTTTTCCTCTCTTTTCTTTTTTCTTTCTCCCTCCCTCCCTCTTCCCTTCCTCTCCCTTCCTTCCCCAGGAAGACAGGGTCTCTCACTGGCCTGGAGCTCAGCAAGTAGACTAGGCTGGCTGGCCAGTAAGGCCAGAGATCCACTTGCCCTTGCCTCCCCTTGCCTCCCCAGCCACCACGCTGGCTTTTTACGTAGGTTTGGAGGATCAAACTCCAGTCCTCATGCTTATGCAGCAAGCACTTTGTAGAATGAGCTTTTTCACCTGGTACCCAGACTTTTCTTGTCATTATTCCCTAACAACACAATAGAACAGCGGTTTACATAGTGCTTTGTGTTAGTTATAATCTAAGATGACAAGGTCTACAGGAGAATGTGAGTAGGTAAGCACTGCACTGTGAGGATTCTGGTGACCATGAGGCTCACCGGCCCTCCCTACAGACAGCAAGGGTGACTGCGTTTAAGTGACACTCCCGGTTTAAACACATGCCTGGTAAGGTACAGGGTACCTTTGTTCTGACGGTATGCTTTCTCAAAGGCCCCCAAGTGGAATGCAAGCCCTACCCAGCAACCACCTCCAGCAGAGCCTTGTGAGTGGCACCGCAGGCTGGAGAAACAGCCCAGGACAGCAAGCCAACGTCTCATGCCAGTGAGGCATGGCCTAGAGACACAGCTCCAGGCTGCACTTGCAGCAGCCTGCAGAGTTCCTTCAGAGTCCTCCACTCAGGTGAAGGAGGGTTTCCTGACTTCACCACAAACAGGAATTTCTGGATAAGCCAGTGTGAAACGGAGTTTATTAAGACCTTCCCTCCCTTCCTTCCTTCCTTCCTTCCTTCCTTCCTTCCTTCCTTCCTTCCTTCCTTCCTTCCTTCCAGATAAGATCTCACACTATAGTCCAGGCTGACATCAAACTTACTATGCAGTCCAGGCTGGCTTCAGATTTTAAAGACCTTCCTGCCTCAGCCTACTGAGTCATGAAATTATAGGCATGCACCACCAAGTCCCACAAGAAGATTAGATAGATGATAGATAGATAGATAGATAGATAGATAGATAGATAGATAGATAGAAAGATAGATAGATGATAGATAGATAGACAGAGAGAGATAGATAAGATAGATAGATAGACGGACGGATGGACGGACGGACAGACAGACAGACAGACAGACAGATAGATAGATAGATAGATTTTTTTTTTTTTGAGACAGGGTTTCTCTGTAGTCCCAGCTGGCCTGGAACTCGCAATGTAGACCAGGCTGGCCTTGAACTCACAGAGATCCACCTGCCTTTGCCTCCTGAGTGCTGGGATTAAAGGCATGTTCCATCACACAAGAAGAGAGTTTAATAGAGTTTTAAGCATGGACATTGAAGGAGGGGGGGTGTCTGGGGCCGTAGCTCAGTAAGAGAGCACTTGCCTAGTATGCATAAGACCCTGGTTTGATCCTCAGCACTATATAAAAGCAGCAGTCCTTCAGAAAAGAATGGCAATGCATCCCAGCATAGGCTTCTCTAGAGCGTCCTCCTTAAGTGTTTTCTTCTAAATATTTATTACTATTTGTGTATATGTCCCTGTGTGTATACACACATGCTTGTGGAGGCCAGAAGAGGGTGTCAGATCCCCTAGAGCTGAAGTTAAGGACAATTGTGGGCCACTCGATGCAGAGCAGCAAGCACTCTTAACTCTCCAGCCCCATCCCCTTGAGTGTCTTTATAATAACCATAGATATATTTGGGTGGCTTCTGAATTTGCATCTCACACCATTGCTAAAGTACTTAAAAGAGATCATAGGGTAGTTTCCATTGTGCATTGGATGGGATTACCCTAGGCGACAAGGGTTACTTGGGGACTTAAGACATGTTTTTACTCTTTTAAAAAAGTACCTTTTCTTGTGAGATTCCCAGAATATTGCAGTCATATCTAGGAAAGAGGAAGGATTTTGTTGGAAGGTCACATGTACTCTGACCTTTGAGCACCTTGCTACATTGCTATTTTAATATTATTTGAAAATATCTCTATATAAAAGAATATTGCCCCTGTGTAGGCAATCTTCACAACAAACGTTATTGATGGTACTAGAAATATTTTTGCATGTGTATGCATGGTGTGCATGCCTGTGTGTATGTATGTTTGCATGTGTGTGCATGTGCGCATGTCCGTGCATGCATATGGAGGCCAGTAGCTGATGTCTGGTATCCTTGATCACTTTCCACTTTATCTGTGGAATCAGGATCCCTTGCTCAGCTAGTTCTGATTAGTCTAGCTGGCCAGTTTGCCTGGGGATTCCCCCATCTCTGCCTTCTCAGTGCTGACTTACAGGTAGCTGCCATGCCTGCTTGGCTTTTATGTAGATTTTGGGGCTCTGAACTTTGGTCCTCATGCTTGCATGACAAGTGCTTTAGTCACTGAGCCACCTCCACAGCCTGTGCTGGAATTCTTGACTCAGCTGGCAAGAAACTGGGGAGACTCTGGGGGAGGAGCTCCTTTTCCTTTTCATGCCACCTTAATTTTCCCTGTCTTTCTCTCCTGCCTCAGATAGAACGGCTTTCAACATTCTGATATGGACAAGGTACATCTGAGCCTTGGCTCCTGGGTTGTTAAGAAACTATATATAAAAAGGGACCACATGATGTCCCTGGAGGCCAGTGACCATCTAGTAGGAGAAACAGGCAGGGGAGCAGTGTTAGCCAAGCAGTGAGCTGTTTCCTGGATGCAGGTTAAGGTAATGGCTACAAACTGAAAAAGGTGAAGGCAGCTAGAGCTGCCCCAAGGCCCAAGCAGGGGACAGATACCCGGTTCTGTTTCCAAATGCCCCTTTCTAGCCAGGATAAAAAAAAAAATGGCTCACTTGCTACGTGCCAGGGTGTGGATGGGAGGCCCAGGGGAGGCTTGTGAGTACACGTAAGATGTGGGGCTGGGCATTCTAAGGTCTGCTACCTTCTCAGCTTACCCAAGTGTGTGACATGCAGGTGCTTTGAAGCCAGGCTCTGGCACTAACTAGCTATGTGATGGTTCCAGTTCTCTGAGAGTGCTTAGCAAACCACCCAAAGCAATGGCATAAACAATGGCAGCATTTGTTTTGCTCTTCCATCTGTGGTCTGGCAGGGCTGTGGAGCAGGGATGGTGTGGCAGGGCCAGTGGACAAGAATCATATGTAAATTCACTTGCCTGCTGTCTGGTGGCAGGTACTGGACTTTCTCAGCTCTCTGTGTGGCCTTTCCCCAGGGTCTCCCCAGCCTGGAGACTTTTAGGTAAGCCTAGATGGAAAGGGAGGGGCATTCCAGTCCATCTTTTTTGGTTTCTTTGCTCGCTGTTAAAACAGGGTCTCATGTAGCTTAGGTTGGCTTTGAACTCACTATGAAATGATCATCCTGCCTCTACCTCCCAAGTGCCAGGATTACAGGAATGTGCCACCATGCCAGGTTTATGTGGTACTGGGGATAGAACTCGGGGCTTTGTGTATGCTAGGCAAGCACGCTATCAACTTAGCTACACCCCCAGCCCTGATTCTTTTATTCAAAATTGTCAGAGACACTTTGGGTAAATTATTTCACTCCTTTGTGATTCCATTTTTCTCTTTTGTAAAATTCAGTTAAATCCAGCCCTCCCTCCTAGCTGAGTTAGTTTTCTAAAGCTGCTGAGCAAAGCCATCAACTTAATGTTTTAAAACAATATGAGTTTATTATCTTAAAGTTCTGAAGCTCAAAAGTCTGACCTGGGCCTCATGAGACTAAAGAAGACTAAAGCTGGTTCCTCTGTCTCCCTTTCCAGCCTCTTGACCTTGGCTCTTCCTCTGTATTTATAGCTACCAACACCGTGCAAGTTCTCAAAAGGAATCACTGACCTCCATAAATAAGGGACCCTTGTAGGGGACCCACCCTGGAAACATGCTTAGGATTGAACCTAAGAGCTTTCCCACTGAGCTACAACCCCAGGCCTGACATTTCCCTATTTTAAGGTCATCTTAACAATCTAAGTTCTACCTGTACATTAGACACCCCACCCCCAGGTACATGTTCACAGGTTCTCCTCAGGGGGCGTGGACATCTTGGGCAGGTTATCATTCTGCCTGCCACAGCAAGATTGCTGAACAGGGTCCAACTCTGCCCTTCCCATGGAGCAGTCCACGGTAGGGCTCCTCACAAACTTGGGCCCAGGGGTGATCTGGGCCTCTCTCTGTAGACAGTATGTTTGTAGTTCAGTGAGGGAGGTTGATTTGCCCATAGTCATATAACAAGTCCAGGAGGGGCTTCCTGCCAGCCCCATGACTATAACGGGGTAGGGTCCCTGGAGCATCCAGGGTGGACGTGTGCGGAGCATGTGTCTTCTTGGACAGATCCTGCAGCTCCTGAAAGGCAAGCTGGTCGTGGGCCATGACCTGAAGCATGACTTCAATGCATTGAAGGAGGATATGAGTGGCTACACCATCTATGACACGTCCACAGACAGGCTGCTGTGGCACGAGGCCAAGCTAGACCACTGCAAGCGAGTGTCCCTGCGAGTGCTGAGTGAGCGCTTACTGCACAAGAGTATTCAGGTGAGGAGCCTCTCCTCTCCGTCCTCCTACTCCAAGAGAGGAGCCTCCTCCCCTTCCTCCCCTTCCCTCCCTCCTCCCTTTACCCCTGCTCAAAATGAGCTTCCTGCTTCCCCTCCCTTCTCCAAGCAAGAAGTCTCTACTCTCTCCTCTCCTTCTCTCTCTCCTTGCTCCTGAAAGTGAAGAGCCTCCTTTTCTCTTTTCTCTCCCCCCTCCCCCTCCTCCTTCTCCTCCCCAGCTTCTTCCTCTTCTCTCCAGGCAGGTCAGTGCCATCCTATCTAAGCTGGCTCCAGGCCTCACCCTCCAGGACTCCATACCACCACTTCAGGGGCTCCAGTGCAAATGTGGAAGCACAAGATTCTTCCCCCAACTCCTGAGAGGCTGTGTGCTTATGTGTGGTGTGTCAAGGAATTGAGTGCAGGATCCTTCTCGGCAAGGTGATCCCAGGAAGTGAGCTACTAGGGAAAGAAAGTGGATGCACCCAGTTCAGGCTTCCTGGTTTAAATTGAGCTGGTGACCCGATGCATATGAGGCTTCTGCTACTGCAGTTCCTCAGAGGCAGTAAAGCCTGCACCTTCAATGTGCTCACAGTGGGTCCTTACACATTACTTCCTGTCATGTATTTCTGTCAGCAGTTTCCAAGTGCTGTTTCCTTAGGACATGGGGGTGGGACTCACCTCATCCAAGTGGGAAGAGCTGAGAGTCTTGGGCCAAACACTGCACTGCACAAGGGCTGTCTTGGGCAACAGCTTTTTAATTTTATTTTTCAGTGCTGGGGATCAAACCTAGGACCTTGAACGTAACATGTCAACTAGCACTCTACCTCTGGTTTTTAAAGACATAGTCTTGAGATGTAGCTCAGTCAGGCCTCAAACTTACAATCCTCCTGTCTCAGCCTCCTGAGAGCCAGTATTGTGGGTTTGTACACAGCTTCTGTGTTTCTTTGTTTAGCACCTGCTCCATGCCAGATGCTGGGTCTCAGGGTGAACACAATCTGCCCCTGTCTGAAAGGAGCTCTTGGTAGGAGGCAGCCCAGTTTCAGATCATCAGCATGCTCTACAGAGTGTCAGATAGAAGAGAAGGCAGGAGGGATATAGCACAGAGTGCTTTCCTAGAATGCACTAAGCCCTGGGTTCACTACCATAAACCAGGAATGCTGGTGCATGCCTATAATCCCAGCACTTGGGAAGTAGAACAGGAAGGTCAGAACTTTTTCTTTTTTTATATAATTTATTATTTTTATTTTATGTATATGAGTGTATTACCTGCGTGTGTGTAAGTGCGCCCGTGTCGTGCAATGACCTCAGAGATCAGAAGAGGGAGTTGGATCCCCTGGAACTAGAGTTACAGACAGTTGTTAGCTGCCATGTGGGTGCTGGAAATTGAACCCAGGTCCTTTGCAAGAACAGTCAGTACTCTTAACTACTGAGCCATATCTCTAGCCCTGAAAGGTCAGAAATTTAAGGTCATCCTCAGTTACATAGCAAGTTTGAGGCTAACCTGGATTACTGGAGACGCTGTCAAAAAAAAAAAAAAAAAAAAAAAAACGGAAGGAAGGAAGGACAGTGTCCTGAGAACAGGGATGAATGGTGGTCCCCAAGGCAAGAGAACAGTGAAATGCAGTGAAATTTGCAGGATATGTCCTGGTCACAGAATGCTGGAGAGAGGGATAGAGTGGGAAGGGGAGCATGAGCCTGCAGTGAGGAGATGGCTTGGTTAATTGAGGGGGCTGGTGGCATGGAGACCTATCCTGCATCTGCAAGAATTATTTTGTAACTAGGACTGGACCTGAGCCTGGCCTCTATTAGTCTTGTGGTCCATGATGACTGTCCTGGATTCTTTTGTACCCCAGGGGCATGCTGTAGCCTGGGGATGAGTCAAGTGCCTTATGAGTATCTGTCTACCTGCCCTTCACTGCTCTCTGTGGCTCTCAGCTGGGGCCCTGTCCTGGGGGTCTTGAGCCTGGTCAGCAGCACCCCTAAGCTCTGTCTCTTCATCCCTCATTATTCCAGGGACTCGGTGCCCACCCTTCCCAGCAGCTTCCCACCTGCATAGATGTCCTTAGAACCTGGCCTCTGGCCCTTGCCTAAGGGGAGTGGTTCTGCTCATCACAGAGACCAGATGTGACCCAAGGACAGGCTGACTTGGGAGCTTGTCGGTGTCAGAGGTGCCCTCCCCTCAAGGTCATGGGGATCTGAGCCTCCCACAGGAGGGGAAAGGCCTTTGTGGGTGCTGGGTACCAGCATCCTCTCATTCTTTTCTGTGAGGCGGGTGTGCCCAGGTCCATTTTACAAAAGAGGAAAAGGCACAGAGAGGCTCAGGGCTTGCCAAGGTCACAGAGCCCCTTAGGAGAGGAGTTGAAACTGGAACCAAAGTCAGAGCTGTTGACTTCCCCCCCAGCTGGTAGGCAGAGGATAGATACTTCAGTCACCTGCAGCTTCCTCCTCAGATAGTACGCTGGAGTGCAAAAATGCCCTGTGCCTCAGTTTCCTCATCTGTCAAGTGAAGGTGATAGTAGGACAGGTCCTTGGAGACACCTAGCACAGTAACACCTGGAGCATTGGAGGCACCACAGCCACCTGCTTGTTAATAACATGGAATGAAATGTAGTCTATCTGAGCTGTGCCTCCCTGGGGTGCCCCCAACACTGTCTGGAGTATAGAAAAGAAGCCCTTGTGAGGACAGACAGGTCACTCTGGGCAGAAGGACACCAGAAGAACAGTCAGACTTGAACATTCCACTGGGCCTGGAGCTGGGTCACAGGCAGGAAGGACTTCAGGACAGGCCAGGAAGGTGGTAGAGGTGAAGGGTGCCTGTAGGAAGTTGGTTTGGTTAAGGCTCCAGTAGGATATAAGACCCAGCTCCATAATCCTTTGTGATCCTCAGTTTCATTACCAATAAAATGGAGGGTGATCAGATCCAGCTCCTATATTGAGGTTCCATGGGCCACGTGAATGGCACAGAGGTGGCAGGTGGTAATCACTTCTTCCTGAATGGAAGGTGTGGCCCTTGAATTCCTTGGCACCCCATTCCCATGAGTTTTCAACTTTTTGGCATAGGCTGGCATAGGCCATAGCCTTCAAGGCTTTCCCTGGCAGGCCTCAGCTTCACCCTGGCCCTATCCCTATCTTCACAGAGCTTGTGTTTTAGTGGCTCATCCTCCCCCTGCTCCCAGGTGCTAGCAATCCCTTGGGGGAGACAGAAAGGGAGGATATCATCCCATCTTATCTTCTGTCCAGGGATGGTCAAGACTGCTGGTTTCTACTAGCTGAAGCCCTTTCCCTCTTTGAACAGCCTTGTCCCCCTACCTTTCCCTCACTGGAGTTCCTTGCTTACTCCTTGTGTCCTGCCCTCCTTTTAGAGCTGCCCTATATGTGACAGCAAAGCCAGGCCACCTCCAGCCACATGCTGACACCTTTTCAAACTCTGGGAGTCAGGGGCCTCAGGGAGACCCTCCTCTGCTGACCCACTTCAGGAACAGGGAGGTCAGGGTGCCTCCAGATGCACCCCACCCATAGTTCCTATTCTACCTGCGTCTGCAGAACAACTGGTCTGGACACAGCTCAGTGGAAGATGCAAGGGCCACAATGGAGCTCTATCAGATCTCACAGCGACTCAGAACCCGAGCCCAACGAGGGGCTGTCTGACTGAAGTTCTTCCAGCCCCTTCTCCAAGGAACAGAGGCTCTACTCCTTCAAGACAGCAGCTTTCCAGAGTTAGACTTGTCTTTAAAAAGAAAAGACTGGAAAAAAAAAAAAGCAAAAGACAAAACCCATCCTATAAAAAATGACAGCAATTCTCTTGCTTTTGGAAAACAATATATCTTTAGTAATAAATGGCTCTATATTTTGTCTACTCCATCTGTGGATCTTCTCATCTTTTGTTTTCTCCTGTCTGAGCCCAGATAGCAGTGACCAGGACCCAGTATGCATGATGGTGACAGAGAAGAAAGACTTGTGCTCAGGAAGTGGGCAAGTGTCAACTTCCTTCCCTCTCTCCTTCCCTCCCTCCTTTCCCAGGTTTATTTAATACACTGCAGAGAGCAGTGTACATGGCAGTAACAGGAAAACTCTGCTTTTTAATTCTTTTCTTCCTGAGCCCAGGTTCACCTAGAACTTGTAATTCTCCTGACTCAGCTTCCTGAGTGCTAGAATTGTAAATATGAACCATCATATCCAGCTTAAATGTATAGAGGGTTTTGATGTTGTTTTCTTTCTTACAGTGCTGAAGACTGAATCTAGGGCCTAGTGCTCTACCATTGCTACATCCCCTGTCCTTTCTCTCTTGACTTCCCTTTCTATTTTTTCTCTCCTTCCTTCCTTCCTTCCTTCCTTCCTTCCTTCCTTCCTTCCTTCCTTCCTTCCTTCCCCTTACATCCCTCTCCCTTTCTTTTTCTTTCTTTCTTTTATTTGTGTGTTATATTTGGGTACACTTGTGCCATGGTACACATGTGGCAGTTAGAGAACAACCCTTGGATTTCTCTTCTTTCACCTTGTGGGTCCCAAGGATCAAACTCAGGTCACCAGGATTAATGACAAGTACCCAGTGAGCTATCTTGCCAACCTCTCTCCTTCTTTCTTTCTTCCTTTCTCTTTCTTCCTTTCTCTTTCCTTTCCTCCCTCATTCCAATACTGAAGATTGAATGCAGGACCTTTGTGCATGCTAGGTGACTACTTTATTACCAAGCTACATCACAAGGACACCTCCTTTTTTTTTTTTTTTGACTTCTTATTTTAAGATAGGGTCTCATTAAGTTGCCTTGGCTGACCTTGAACTTGACACTCTTCTTGCTTCACACTCCCTAGTAGCTGGGATTATAGGCCTGAGCCACCGGGCCTGGCTCAATTTTCTTAGTATCTTGAACCCTGCACATTCAAGAAGTCACTTTGGAATCATGCAGCTTAAGGGCTCTGCTGCCCTGTCCCTATTGCATTTATATTTGTTTCCTGGTGTGGTTCCCTGCTCAGGGGTCCACCTATCTCATCTTGAGATATGGTGAGTCATCCTCCCTTATTTGTAAAATAAAGACGTCTGGAGTCAGAAGGAACTAGGTCAGAAGGCTGGCTTTGTGACCAACAACAGTTTACTCAGTCTTTCTGTGTCTCCGTCTCTCCATCTGTAAAACAGAAAATCATAACATTTGGTATTTGTGAGATGTCTGCAGAACTCCCCCAGCAGCATCCCTGTTTTCAGCTAGGCACCCACCAAGTGTTATTAACTATCTTCATTTCATGGATTGTTTCTGGAATCCGTCTGGACTCCCCTGTCTCCCTAGTCCTTGTGATTTTCATTGAAAGAATTCAGAGGTGACCCACAGAGTACAGGGTACAAGACAGAGTTTATTGCAAAGCAAGCGCCTTCCACTTCCGCAAAGGGGAGAGCAGACAGTACAAAGAGACCACTGCCCCAATCTACACAGCAGGCAGGCTTCTTACTCTATTATCTCTAGAACAACAAACCCTCAACTTTCCTTTGAGGCCTTTGTTCTGTTCCATGATGGGAAAATGTGTTTGGATTAGCTCCCACTGACTCTTCAGGTAGAGGATCAGTGATGCATATCTCAGAATGTTGTTTTTGTTCTTTATTGAAAGGTTTCCAGTTATCTAAGAATCTCATAAGCTTCAGGACTTCATGGAGCCTGTTTTCAAATGGTTATTCATTATTCAGGCAGTTGAGGTGGTCACTTCAGCCTAGGAGGTCACTTTTCCTCCCACATAGAGAAAAATGATTCTGGTCCCAATTTTCTGATCGTTAACAACCAGCTGTTCCTGTCCTTTGTTTTACAAGCTGAAGACTATGAGGGATGGTACAGCCCAAAGTCCTCCATGCCTGCTAATATCTAAACTACCTTACAGGGGCCACCTGCAGGTTCTGGGGACCCGAAGGGAGAGTTCAGCTGCCTGAGGGAAGAGCTGAGTGTGTGGATAGAAGGGTCTCAATTCGTTTGAATCAATTGTGTGGTTGATATTTTCACCTGTGCTGGGTCCCACTGCAGCTCCACTCACCTAGGATACCTGCAGTAGGGTCCCTGGTGTATTTTTGTTGTTGTTGTTGAAGTGATCCTGATTCTTGGCACTTTGAAGCCCAGAAGTGCTTTCTGAGGAACCCCAGGACCTTAGTGCCTCTGGGCTACTGCCCCACTCCAGCAATTTCCCATTCTACTGGACTGGGTTGGTGTGGGTCTCTTCT